AAGTTGTGTCTGACTTTTTGCAACCCCAAGGACTGCAGCACACCAGGCTTCCCTGTCCTTCAGTATCTCCTGAAGTTTATTCAAACTCATGTCCACTGAGTCTGTGATGCCATCCAACCATCTCATTCTCTGTTGCCTCCTTCTCCTGCCCTCAATCTTTCCCAGCATCAGGGTCTTTTCCATTGAGGCAGCTCTTTGCATCAGTTTTAGCATCAGGAGTTTTAGCTTCAGCATCAGTCCTTCCAATGAATGTTCAGGTTTGATTTCCTTTAGGATTGACTGATTTGATCTCCTTGCAGTCCAAGGGACTCTCAAGAGTCTTCTCCAGCACATTTCAAAAGCAAGGAATTGGGTATGTTTATGGATCAATCCCAGTCACATGCCCAGTAAAACCACATGAAATGAGACAGGAGCAACTTACCAAAGGGAGAAGCAATGGGGAAACAAAATATGCCTACTGTAGATGTCATAAACAGTACCCAATGGTCATCATAAGGGAAATTTTTAAACATGACATGTCAAGAATGGGGAAGTACGTTCTCTCCAAATTGCAGTCAACTCTAGGATCTCTCCCTAACACACATGTCAAATGTGTGTCAAATCCACTATTGTTAATAATAAACTACTTTTAAAATATGGATTTATGTATAAGACATATTAACACACCCAAGTGTAATCTCTGACGGTAATCATGTTTCATTTCTCTTTGAGCTTTTCTAAAAATACTCATCTGTCTATGAACATATGTTAACATTTTTCTCTCTGATAGTTTGGATAAATCTTCCACATTGTTTTGACCACATACATTTCTGTTAACAGTCATGAATCACACACAAAAAATTAACTGACGATTACAGGTGTGTCAGGCTGAACTTCAGCTCACACTTACCCTCTTCAGGGAGAATCATGGGGATTAGAGAGAAACTAGGTTTACTGCAATGCCATTTAACCAGATAGTTCAACCAGAGACCTCATCAGTTTACCCTCCATAATGAAGGGACATAGCTGAGCAGAGGAGAATGGTTTAGCATGAGACCAGGACTTTCTTTGCAAGAATCAGAGTTAAAATCATGTTACAGGAATCTACATTCCTCTCATAGACTATCTTACTTCTTTTTTTAATATTTAGTTTTAAGCTGGCTTTTCCACTCTCCTCCTTCACCCTCATCAAGAGGTTCTTTAGTTCCTCTTCACTTTCTGCCTTTAGAGTGGTATCATCCACATATCTGAGGTTGATGATACCTCTCCCAGCAATCATGATTCCAGCTTGTAACTCATCCAGCCCAGCATTTCTCATGATGTGCTCTATGTATAAGTTCAATAAATATGGTGGCAACAAACAGCCTTGTTGAACTCCTTTCTCAATCCTGAGCCAGTCAGTTGCTCCATACAGGGTTCTAACTGTTGCTTCTTGACTGGCATACAGGTTTCTCAGGAGACAGGTAAGATGGTCTGGTATTCCTGTCTCTTAAAAGTTTTCTACATTTTGTTATGATTCACACAGTCAAAGGCTTTAGCATAGTAATGAAACACAGGGAGTTGATCATGACATCTGGTCCCATCACTTCATGGGAAATAGAAGGTGAAAAGGTGGAAGTAGTGACAGATTTCCTCTTCTTGGACTCTAAAATCATTGCCGATGGTGACTGCAGCCAAGAAATTAGAAGACAAATGTTTTTTGGCAGGAAAACTATGACAAACCTAAACAGTGTGTTAAAAATCAAAGACATCACTTTGCCAACAAAAGTCTGTATAGTCAATGCTATGGTCTTTCCAGTGGTCATGTATGGTTGTGAGAGCTGGACTGTAAAGAAGGCAGAATGCCAAAGAATTGATGCTTTTGAACTGTGGTGTTGGAGAAGACTCTTGAGAGTCTCTCGGACTGCAAGGAGATCCAACCAGTCAATCTTAAAGGAAAGCAACACTGAATACTCACTGGATGGACAGATGCTGAAGCTGAAGCTCCAATACTTTGGCCACCTGATGCAAAGAGCTGACTCATTGGAAAAACCCTGATGTTGGGAAAGATTGAGGACAGAAGGAGAAGAGGGCAACAGAGGATGAGATGGTTGGATGGCATCACCAATGCAATGGACATGAACTTGAGTAAACTCCACGAGATGGTGAGGGACAGGGAAGCCTGGTATGCTGCAATCCATGGGGTCATGAAGAGTGGGACATGACTTGGCAACTAAACAACACAACATGTCATAGACCATATCTTGGGTGGGCAAATATATTCTAGAAAGGACCAGAGGGTAAATATTTTAGGCTTTGCAGGCCATTCAGTTCCTGTAGCAACTACTTAACTCTACCACTGTGGTGCAAAAGTAGCCATGGACAATACTTAAACAATGAGTGTGTCTGTGTTTTAATCAAACTTTATTTATAAAAACAGACCTGTGAGATTTGGTTCATGGGCTATAGTCTACAAACCCTGGACTAGAAAAAAGGAAAAAAAAAAAGAAAAGAAAACCCTACATCACAGAGGTGAGATGTGTTTGGGTAAAGAGAAACCCTAGACTGGCCCTGCTGGTGAAAAGAACAAACAGAAATTGAAACACTCCCAGTATACTTCAGCCCTCCAATCCCACCCTCTTCCCACCATGGGACTGGAGCTCATCCTCTCCTCTTGCAGGATCAGCAAGAGCTAGAACAGATTGAGACTATGTTCGTACCCAGCTGAGGCCAGCCATGGCAGAATTTGTCCCTTCACGATCAAAAGGACTGGGGTTTCACTAATTCCAAGGGTGGGCTGGGGGGCTGGATAAGTTCTGAGAAGTGTCTGATGTTGAAGATTAAAGAAATCTATCAACACTGGGAGAAGTGGAAAGAATGTGAGCATTAGGGAATGAAGGAGTATCAAATATCCTGAAGCCCACCCCAAAAGTACCTGGAACCCAGGTCCCAATCTTTCCTTGAACCCTCTCAGAATGCTTCAGAAAAGAGGTTCTTAAGCCTCCCCCAAGGCCCTGCTTAATTGCCTGCCTCACTCAATCAGCCTCTCCTGTACTCATCTCCTTGATGTTCTTTGAGCACACCTAGCACATTCCCCGGAGAAGGCAATGGCAACCCACTCCAGTACTCTTGCCTGGAAGGGGCATGAGGGCTCTTGCCATGGAGGGGCCTGGTGGGCTACAGTCCACGGGGTCTAAGAGTCGAACACAACTGAGCGACTTCACTTTCACTTTCCACTTCCATGCATTGGAGAAGGAAATGGCAACCCACTCCAGTGTTCTTGCCTGGAGAACCCCAGGGACGGGGGAGCCTGGTGGGCTGCCGTCTATGGGGTCGCACAGAGTAGGCACTACTGAAGCGACTTAGCAGCAGCAGCAGCAGCACATTCCCACCCCAGGGCCTTTGCACCTCCTCACTCTTCAGACAGAATGAAAACTCTCCCTCTAAATATTCAAATGGTTCACTCTCTCTCTTCATTTGGGTTTCTCAAGTAACAACTCAAAAATGCCTTCCCTGACTTTTCTATCTAGCATCCTCATCAGACTCCACTTGTTTTAATTTTTCTTCATAGTACATATCACAACCTGACAGTCTCCCCCAGTAGCATGTGAGCCCCCATAACATCAAGGACTTTGTTTAGTTCACTCAAGTATTCTTTGTACCTTGAATAGGACCTGGGTGCCCAATAAATATTTACTGAATAAATGAATAACTCAAGTCCAACCTATCTGTGATGGCTAATTTTATGTGTCAACTTGGATAGGCTATCGTGCCTAAATAGCTGCTCAAAATGTATTCAAGATGTTTCTGTGAGGGTGTTTTTGGATGGGGTTAACATTTAAATTGGTGGCCTTTGAGGAAAGCAGATTCTGCTCTATAATGTGGACAGTCCTCATCTAATCAACTGAAAGTCTGAACAAGAAGGCAAGTAAGCATATTACAGCAAATGGGCTTTGGCCTTCATCTGCAGCATCAGCTAGTCCTGGTTCTACTGCAGACTGCCCCCGAACTACAACCACAACGTTTTCCTGAGTCTCCATCCCCCCCGAGCATCTCCCATCAGCTTTTGACTTGCCAAACCTCCACAGTTGTTGAGAGCCAATTCATTAATATAAATCTTTTTATGTACATATCTTCTCCCTGCCCCCCTCCCCAGAGAACCCTAATGCAGTCTCTAAGTCAAACTGTGCTACTTTCTTTACTAAAGAATTCTTCTCAATAGTTCTCTTCCCACTGGTTTCCATAACATGAGTCAGGCCGCCGAAAGTTCTGCATGTTTTTGTCAGATCTGCCAGTAATACTGCTCCAGGTGACCTTCTTCCCCACAGCCAATTAAATGGGGACTGGAGAATGGGAGAGAGAATAATCGAACACGGTTTTTAAAGATTAGAGCCAATTATTTAGAAAAATTGACACTTAAACCATCTGGAGACTTTTAATCAATCTCTCCTTCATAAGATGCTATTTCATTCATATTTCATGAACAGGAAGGTTGATCTACATCTTAATCTGTCTATATCCTGGAATGCTAAGGAACATAAAATATCAAACACACAAAGTATGTTTATATTCTGGGTTTGGGCAATTTCCACAGTATTTGTAGGACTAGATATACCATAATTATAAAGTCTACAGGATGTGTGTGTTTTCACAATATGTTTCAGGTCAATGCTCCCCACCATGCCCTTAAAAAAATAAGTTTAAAAAAAATTAAGAAAACAAACAAAATTCCGTTCTCGGTACCACCTTAAAATCCTGCCAAGAGGAAGCCCCACTTTCAAACATCCCCACTTTTCAAACATCCCCACTGCGACCGGGCTGCCTTTAAACGATATCGTTCCGCCCCTTTCCCAGCCCCCTCTACGCTTCCAACCGGCGGGAGGAGAGCGCCCTCCCAGCCAATCAACATTCAGCAGGGCCCTCCTCCGGCGCGTCTTTCAAAGGCCTCCTACGAGCCAATGGGCGGTTAGAGGCCGAGCCAGGGCGCCCGGGGGCGGAGTAAGAAACAGGAAGTGGGGGTCCGATTGGTTTCAAGAAGACGCCTCGCTCCACCTCACAGAAGGATGTACCAATGAGCTGAGTAGAGGGGCTGGCTCGGCTCGGGGCGGAGGCTGAGATACCGGTGCTGCCTAAGGGAGGTGGTGGCCGATCAGGACGTGGGGTGGCCCGCAATGAAGCCGGTGAGTGGGGCCGGGGATTGGAGGAACGGAGCCGCAGGAATGGGAGCGGTCCTGAGGCCAGTTCTTGAGCCCGGGGACAGCCCGGGCCTGGCCGCCGCACAGCTCGCGCAGTAACTGTCCAGGCTAGGGGAGGCCGCGCTATCCCGGGACCTGCGAGGATGGCAGCAAAGGAACAGGGTAGGTGGCTGGCCAGGGGAAAACGGACATTCGCTACCCGCCTGTTGAGGGCTGTGAGCTGTCGCATACAGGGTCTCCTGAGCCTCGCGACAGCCCTGCCAGAAAGGGCTGAGTCCCATTTTAAGAAGGAAACTGAGGCGTAGAGAGCCTGTGTCTACGTGCATCATTCAGCCCGATATCCCAGCTCCAAAGCACATCCCGGGCTGCCTGGGCCCCCTGAGAAGCAGTCCTCACCTATGACGGGGAAAACTTTTTGAAAGATGATTAACAAACCCCGCTTGTGCGTGTGTCACGACTGTCATCATGCCACTGGGCCACCAGGCACTGCTTCCCTTTCCCTGGAGTTCAGAATCTCTGGGCCCAAGGAAGCAGAAACGTCCAGCTCTGTTAGGATTTGTAAAGCTGGCTGGAAAAGCCTGAGTGAAAGGGCCACACAAATTGAAACTCAAATCACCAAAACTGCCTTAAAGAGAAAGAAAGAAAAAGCAGGCTTAAGGACCAGAAACCTCACCTGACTCATATCACCTACCACCAGGGTTGACAACCCCCTGAAGGGTCTCCATTTGCGTTGACTTGACAATAACAATACAGATAGATCCCAAGCAACTCAAATCCACAGCCTAAATTGGCTCTGTAATGTGATCGTGCAGTAACAAACAAGACCATTATAGAATATAGCGGCAGAGCTAGAAAAGACATGAGGCAGTTATACTTGCTAATCCCTGTGTTTCCACGTGGAGGGACATCAGCTGTCACTTGTCCCCAGGAGGGGGAGAGTGAGTGATCTGATTCCTGTGTTTGGGAGGAGCTGAACTCAAGGAACTCATTCTTTCCTTCCCTTCTTTTCGCAGATAGTACTCTCTAGGGTGCTGTCTGCCACAGGGCGGGGGAGGGGAGCTGATAGAAAGAAAGAAAAAGCAGGCTTAAGGACCAGAAACCTCACCTGACTCATATCACCTACCACCAGGGTTGACAACCCCCTGAAGGGTCTCCATTTGCGTTGACTTGACAATAACAATACAGATAGATCCAAAGCAACTCAAATCCACAGCCTAAATTGGCTCTGTAATGTGATCGTGCAGTAACAAACAAGACCATTATAGAATATAGCGGCAGAGCTAGAAAAGACATGAGGCAGTTATACTTGCTAATCCCTGTGTTTCCACGTGGAGGGACATCAGCTGTCACTTGTCCCCAGGAGGGGGAGAGTGAGTGATCTGATTCCTGTGTTTGGGAGGAGCTGAACTCAAGGAACTCATTCTTTCCTTCCCTTCTTTTCACAGATAGTACTCTCTAGGGTGCTGTCTGCCACAGGGCGGGGGAGGGGAGCTGAATTGTCCATCACTGCCTGTGCCTGAGTGGATAAGTCCAATTCTGAAGTGAAGAATTGACAAGCCCACTTGACCTGTTTTAAAGCTGCATCCTCCATCTGACCCTCTGTAATAAAACTGACATATTGATCTCCATGCCTCTCCAGTGTCTCATCTCTCAGTTGGCTCCAACTAGGAAGTAGAAGAAAGGTGTGTTTTTTATTGGTCTTATAACACAACACATTTTCCATATGGAAACTCTTCCCACATGATTGAGTTTTGGCTTCTTAGATTAGCACACAAAGTCCATCTCAATCTCTCTAGTTCAGTCATTCACAAAGTTAGGGGCAGGTTATTGCATCTATACTTCCCACCCTGCTCCCCAATCAAACTACTAGGCTGTTTGGGGGTTATCTTTAGAGAAATGAGAATGCTGCTTCTTTAGCTTCCTCTCCTCTGCTCTGATGTCACAATTCCTGAATACAGCTGGCCCTTGGTATCCTCAGATGCAGAGGACCAACTGCACCGTTTTGTTTTTTGTAAGGGACTTGACCATCAGGGGATTTTGGTACCCATGGTGTGTGTATGGGTGGGGGCATTGCTCCTGGAACCACCGAGTCCCCACTCGGATGCTGAGGAACTATACTGTACACAAGCACATGTGGTTTTTGTTTTTTGTCTTAATTGCCTTAACTTCTCTATCTGCCTGAAAACCTCCTGCTCTTCCATCAAAATCCGACTAATGGATCTCTCCTATGTGAAGCTTTCTCCAGCTCCCTAAACAGTCACTACCTTCTCTGCTCTGAAGGTCATAGTTTATGCTTCCATTTTAGCACTTCTAACTTTCTTGAATCTATATGCACATTGTCTCTCCAACTATACTGAAGGCAGGCTATTTAGTTTATGGATCTTTGCATCTCCAGAGCTTGGCATATGAAAGTGTCCAAGAAGTGTTTGTGAAGGAATGAATAAATATCCTCACTTTATAGTTTTGGAAAACTGAGATTCAGTAGAAACTGACATCACTTGTCTGAGCTTATACAGTAAGTGGCAGAGTCAAGACCAGAAGACAGGCTTCTTGGTTCTCACTGCAACACTCTTTCCACTGCATAGTCCTGTAATTATTAATAGGATGGTAAACAGCAATAGTTTATTATTGATATTACTGATCTCTGATATTCCAGGTTGAATAAATTGCAAATAAGCCTCAGTGTGTGTTTAAGCAAGGATCAGTTTTGCTAAAACTATATGTAAATATTCTTTAGTTATTTAACATAATTGATTTCTTTTGAAGCCTAGTTCAATGCAAACAAGTGAGTTTGACTCATCAGATGAAGAGCCTATTGAAGATGAACAGACTCCAATTCAGATATCATGGTATGTTAACATTTCTGAGAGTTAATGAGCTAAAATATTTGAGGTATACATCAAAATCTTTGTATAATTTAGTCTATATATTGTAAATGATTCTCTTCTGATGATTATATAATTCTTATCTTTTTATATTTATGACAGCATAAGGTTTTTTGGAAGGGGGTAGGTGGGAGTGGTGGGAGTTCCTTCCTTATTCATTGAGAAAACCATAATAGAAGTGAGTTAAGATTGAAATGACCTCCCATTTAGTACCAAAACCTTCTTATTCTTTCATGACAAAGGAATAGTGTGTGAAATATAGGATGAGATAGTCTATGTTATTCTTTATTTAAATCCTAGAACTACCTGCCACAGTAGTGCATCTACCAGCAGACCCTGTTTAAGATAGAAGTCATATTACCATAGATAGAATAACAAAGCAAATGTTTTTATAGAAAATCAGCTTCTAAATCTTGACAGTGACTTACATCAGATTCTCTACAACCAGCAATCAAATGCTTCCTCTTATTCCTATAAATGTAATAATCTCTCTCTTTAATCATTTGCCTTGCTGTAGGAAGAGGGGAAAAGTGTTGGCCCTATAGTTATTTTATTCTGCCATCAAATAGCAATTATTTTTCATCTCCCTTTCTAAACCCCCTTTAGACTCAAAAACTTATCTAATTTTCAAAGTCAGGTAGTATTTATATGATGCCCCCTCTTTTCCTCTAAACTCATCTCTTTTGCAGACAAAGTGAGCCTCTGCCTCCTTTGTCCCTGAGTACTACAAACTGGGAATAGGATTTCTTGAAATTATTTCATTTTAACCAAAACCCATTACAACAAAGAATAGGTGGCCTGTGGTTTTTATTCTATGAAATTGTATCTGTTTAAGGAAGTCCTATACAGAAATCTGGAGATGAAATTGTCAAAATGCTCATTTTCAGCTTATTACCTAAGGTTACTAATACAAAATATCTCAGTAACATGCTGCAGGGTAACTTAAGTACACTTTATACTAGCTGTAGGTAATCTTGGCATTACTATCTTTAAGTTAGTTTAAATAAGTTTGCCATTTTTAAGACTTAAATTCAGCAAAGCAAATGATAAGTCCCTATTTTAAAACTCCTAGTCTTTCCAAGCCTTTTTATGGCAAACACATTGATACTTAACTGTGAATTTTTGTTTTGTGACTGCTATAGAACTTTAAAACACCTTTGTTCAGGGCCCAGCACACATGTTTGTGTAAATGTCCATCTATGACTTTAAATTGAACTTGATAAAGTTTTCTTCCCTTCAGGCTACCCCTGTCACGAGTGAATTGTTCTCAGTTTCTTGGTTTATGTGCTCTTCCAGGTAGGTGACACTATTGATCTATTAGAAATAATTTTTGTGTCAGCTAGCTCATCATTCTCTGTAGTGAGGAGTAAGAGAATTTCACAGACTATCAGCATAGGAACTCAGTTCTGGAAACCCTGTTGGTGGGCTATTGATAAAGGAACATACATCTATTCTTCAGCCCTCCAAATCCACATTCACAGATCTACATTTCTGATTTACCTATCTTAAACTAACATGGGAGTACAACGTGAGGCTAAGGACTACAGCCAGGTTCTTGTGACAGAAATCTGAATCCCTGGAATTATATTCCTAAGAATATAAGAAATTGAAATTCACATTCAAAATGGAATTGGTGCATATAAGTGATCAGGTGTAGCTATATACAGTAGCTATATATGTGTTTAAATATACTTGTTATTTATGATCAAAAACTGACTCTTTGACTTGCCTTGTCATTACTTACAGGTTGTAAATTTAAAGATGTTAGAAGAAATATCCAAAAAGATACAGGTAGGTGTAGTATGAGAAAACCACCTTAACAGGTTTTTAAAAAATAATACTGAAAATCTCTTTGTCATAAAGAACAAACTGTAGTCTCTTCTGAATTTTCACAAAAATGTTCAGTATTTCATTAAGTCTCAAACTATAGACTTATTCTAATATATGAAGAGGTATATGTGAATAGCAAAGAGAACTCATCTCTATGTACTAAACATAGTGCTGTTTTCACTAATTGTTGTCGTTTTGTACATATAAACTGTTTTTGAGGTTAGAATGTATAAGTTGGAGAAAAGTAATGTAATAGAAAACTGAAATCACAATGCCCAAAACTTTGAATATACTGTTCTTTGCAGACTTGACTGTATTGGAAATTAAGCCTGAGTTGGGAACCCAGAGGCAGTACTGAAATTGTCTATCCCAGATAGAAAATTTATAGAACCAGGGTATAAGTAGAAAAGATAGAATAGGATCTGATCTCCACATGCCCAAAGATATTCATAGCCTGAAATTTAATAGTCCTACAAATACACTGATAATCTATCCTGATTTGGCATTTGTATATTGCATAGTACTAACAAATTTAGATTTTCAAAACATTTTTTTCTGGTTGACCTGGAATATCTCAAGCTTACTTGTCCTACCAATGTCCTTATAATAAACCAAAACAAAAATGTGTATATTGTTTGATTCTGATTACTATAGATTTTATAAATCTCAAAGTTCTTTCCTTGTTATCCTAGAATATCAATTTGCTAATATACTTTCTTTAATTTACCTCCCCAAAAAGACTTAAAAGACTAATAGATTAATTGACCCTTGCAATATTTGTAAAGATTTTCTGCTCTAGAGATATCCACCGTGGTAGGCAATTTCCATTTGGAGAACAATCATTTATCTCCATGAGCAAAATAATATTTAAATCATTTGTTCAAGAAACAATCTTGCACACTTTGGAAAGCCCTATACATTTAGTCTCTTCTGTGAAAGGAGTTTCCAGTTTTTTACCAAAAGTTTTTTTCTTCCAATGAAATCTTAAGTGGAATCCAACATACAAAACAGACAACAGTGTTTGAAGGGGAAACCTAGACTCTCCTAGCAGCCCTTCCTGTGTCCTTCCTCAGAGTCCTTTCTGGGAAAGTTGAAATCTACTAATCCAACCTAAATAATAGAAATTATTCAATGTGTACAGAAGGCAAATACGAAATTACCTACTCTCCTAAAAATGGTTAAGTATGTCAACTACATGTTAAACCCTTTTACAAGTACAAAAGCATAATTGTATTATCTAGAACAGCTGTCCTTAGAAACATCCTGGGAGCCACAAATAGAAGCCACATATGTACTTTGACATTTTCTAGGGGCCATGTTAAAAAAGTAAAAACAGGTAAAATTAACTCATTTCAGTGGGTTTTAAGTATAAAACAAATTATTAATGAGATAGTGGGTTTTTTGTACTATACTTGATCTTTGAAATCTTATATGTATTTTACATTTACAATACATCTCAATTTGGACTAGCCATAATTCAAGTACAGGTTTAGCATTTCATGATAAAAGTACTTTGTACTTAAATAGCTATATGTCCTTGGATTTGGTGGGTGGGGAAAGAAAAATTCATTATTCATTATGAGCCAGAATTATTCATTATGAACCAAATGCTCTGTAGTGAATATTGCCATGAGGAAGCTCCAGTAAATAGAATGATGTGTAGTACTGTTGCTTGGTTCATATCATTACCCTGAAACTAACTAGGTCATATAATTTTCATACAACTAATGCTTTTATTTCCTTGAAACCCTAGTTCATAAAATTAAATGCATAATTGTGTGGTACAGTGCAAATATAAGAGACAATACAGGCGCTCAGGCACCATGGCTATGCTGGAGATTTTATATAGCATGCTTAGGGTGAAACAAAATAGTCTTAAACATAGCAAACAAGGTTGATTTGGTGAGAAGAAAACGGACAATGTGCTATCATTCCTTCTTATTTTGAAATATTAGACGTTTTAACATTTAAAGCAGTATTTATTATAAAAATTATTTTTCAAAGCAGCAATATAATTGACATTTCAAAATCCAGTAAAAGGTATTTTGACTTATAAAGTCAGATCTCATTTTAATCATGTTTTGGTTCAGATGTTTCTAATTCCTATTTGTACTTACTTTTTACCCTAATTTGAAGACAGATCAGCATTGTTTTAGGTTATCAATAAGCACTTCAAAGTTAACAGGTTATCATTTGTTATTTACTTAATTTGTTCAGCTTTAGGGACTTAACTCTGTATTTTCCCTCCTGACTGTATTTAAATTTTTAATGTTTTGTCCATGTGTGTCCTTGTATATCTCGGTCTATTGGCAGAAGAACTAAAGAGCTATGGTATACAAGACATATTTGTTTTCTGCACCAGAGGGGAACTGTCAAAATATAGAGTTCCAAACCTTTTGGATCTCTACCATCAGTATGGAATTATCACTCATCACCATCCAATTCCAGATGGAGGGACTCCTGACATCACCAGCTGCTGTGAAATCATGGAGGAGCTTGAAATTTGCCTTAAAAATAACCGAAAAACCTTAATACAGTACGTTCTCCTTTTCTCCATATAATATGTGAGAAATGTCCCATTCAAAAATGATTTCTCAAATTATTGAATCTGTATGCACTTATTATCTACCTTATATTACATTGCAAAGATTTAAAGGAGGTAACACATGAAAAGTCCTGCACAATGCCTGGCACAGAGCAAGCACTCAGATATTTGCCATGATGATTTTTGAAGAGTAAGGACAATGAATGAGTAGATTGGGAAATTTTTAGAATAGGGTTAACAGGCTTTTTTTTTTTTCTTTTCCTTTTGCCTTAGACCTTTACTCATAATTTGGGGATACTATCCTTCCCAAAAAGGTCAGGGTGTCATTCTTGTTATATAACAACACCTTAACTATCAGTCGACCTTTCAGTTAACTTTCTTCCAACAGCAAGAAAGTCCATTTTTAAAAACATTAGCAGCAAAGGAATCATCCCTAACCCATGAGCAATCCTAAAAACAGGAGTTGAAAATCTTATTTGATGATATGAATTTGCTACCTGAAAGAAAGAGAAAAGAGACTCACATTTTTTATCAGTGGCTGTACATAAGCTACTGGTATCAAAGTTTAAAATAAAACAAAATGAATTAAGGGAGGAAAAAAGGGAGAGGAGAAAAAAGCTTGGAGAAAGGAAGAGAGTGACAATCAGCAGTAGACAGTAGCACTGCAAAGACTCGAAGTGGTGTCATGGAAAGTAACGTAATTATGCCAGAGGTGAGCCCCACAAAGCAGAGGGGAAGCAGCTACACAGAGAAAACTAGTCCTTCTTGTGATTGCTTTTTTTGGGGCGGGAGGGGTGGTATCTTAGTCTGTGTAATGCTTTCTGGAGCAACAAAGAACATTAAGTAGTGTGATACCTCAAAAGCTCTAAGGTCACTACCATGGACTAGAAAGTATACAAACTACCAAATAACATAGTCTCAGGGCGCCTATTAAAAGAGCAAGCCCAGCCAGCTTCTCTCGCCTTAGATCAAGAGTTCTGGGGCTTCACACCAATAGTTTATGTTTTTAAAAACAAACCAACCTAGTACAGAGGTCTTTGGGAACAGACATCTATTTATGACCAAACTAAACCCTGATGTAGAGAACTGTGAAGCAGGGGAGAAAGAACTAGAAGTCATTTTATATCCTAGTTTCCAAACTTATTCTGTAGAAAAGCATCGTCTCTCATCTAGTTCTAATTGTAGAAACAAAATTTTAGAATAAATACAGTTATCTATGATAAATTTGCTGATACGTCTAAGTAAAATAGCATTAGATACATGGAGCTAGTGAAAAAATAATTTACAATTTTGGGACCCATTTTTCAAACAAATTCTGAGATTTTTTTTTTCCCCAAATCTTTGAAAGCTTCTGCCGAAAGATTACTAGGAATCAAACTAGCTCAGTTTAGAGAAGCTTAACAAATTCTACTCTAGCAGGTTCCAGCAAACCAAACACTCTGATGTTTGAACACAGAAAGGTGAATGGGCAGTCTTGCTTATGTTGAATGCTTCGGGCTCCCATAAAATGAAGCATCTGATGACTGGAAATTTTCATTATCCTAGACTTTTCAAAGGTGTCCCTACAGTGACTAATGTTTGTGCGGACAAAGATTTTTCTATTCATTCTCCCATCCTTGAGTGCCGACATTGCTAGACAGCTCTAGAGTTTATTCCTCAGAAACAGCATCTGGTAGATTTTTTTTTTCCGGTTCTATCTGTGCTGCCTGACTGGCTTTCCTGGGACTTTTTTGTTCCTTTTTAAAATCAGTGCCTATTGTATTATACCATTTCCTGGGGCTGTTATAACAGAGTACCACACACTGGGTAGCTTAAAAAACAGAAATGTATTCCCGCCCAGGTCTAGAGGCTTGAAGTCCAAATTCAAGGTGCTAGCAGGGCTATGCTCCCTCCGAGACCCCAGGTAGATTCCTTCCTCTCTTGTTCCTGTCTTCTGGCGGTGGCCGGCAATCCTTGGCATACTTTGGTTTGTAACTGCATCACTCCACTCCCTGCCTCTGTCATCACATCATCCTCCCTGGGTGTCTGTTTTCATGTGGAGTTTCCTCTTAGAAGGACATCACTCATACTGGACTGGGCTTCCTTGGTGACTCAGATAGTAAAGAATCCGCCTGCAATACAGGACACCAGGTTCAATCACTGCATCAGGAAGATCCCCTGAAGAAGGGAACAGCAACCCACTCCAGTATTCTTGCCTGGAGAATTCCATAGACAGAGAGCCTGCCAGGCTACAGACCACGGGGTCACAAAGAGTCAGACACAACTGAGCAACTAACGAAATTTTCAAATAAGGTCACATTCATCGTACCAGGGATTAGGTACATATCTTTTCAGGGACATAATTCAACCCAGTGTATGAAGCATTGTATATGAAATATTATGAATACAAAGCACACACTCTGAGATGCAGTTCCCACCCTCAAAGAAACCACAGCTAACGACGCCATCACACAAGTGTGAGAATAGTCAAGCAGATGTACACGCGGCAGTACACAGGATGGCAGTGGTTTCTGTCGGGGAACAGAGACACTTCAGGAGTTGAAATTTGAGCGAGATTTTGAAGGATAAGTAGGAATCAACCAAACAGAGGAGGAAAGATAAAGGCAGCAAGAGATATAAGTGGTACGTTTTAATCTTACAGAAAGCCACTGAAATATTCTGTCTTTATAGAGTAGAGCCTCGTCTCTGAAACAGGCCTATAGCCAGGACACTGAACAGTTACCCAGGGGTCAGTACCTATTTGATCCCCTGTCTCACATCCTGTCACAAGACACATATCTACAGCTCTGTCTACGCATACACCACTGTAATTGATGCACTTGATGAGTTGTCAGCACCTAAATGGAATCAGAACACTCTTAGAAAAGTCAGGAAGTGTCTAATACACTTTTTTAGTATCTTTGAAACCGATTAAAGTGAATGTTTTCATTGCTTTAAGAATTGATCCTCCTTTTCCTAGAAAATCCAGTTATATGGAACTGCTCCTTTCTTCACCAATGCTACATAATAGCAGCTAATGTGCATTTATTTCTTACTCTGTGCCAAGCTCTGTTGTAAGTTTTACAAATGTTACCCCATTCAATCCTCACTATGACATAGATACTGTTGCTGTCCCCATCTTATAGGTGAAAAGCCTGAAGCCCAGAGAGGTTAAATAACTTAGGCTGACACATCTAATAAGTGTCATGATTCTCGACCCCAGGCGGTGCGGCTCCAGAGCCCAAGCTCTAAACCTACAGGATACACTTACCTCTGTACTCTTATTACATGACTGAAGAGTTATTTATGTGAACCTGTCTCACAGCTACTAAGGTTTTGTTTAGAGAAATATAAAGAGTCAGTTGGTAAAACTAGTCTGATTTCTATCAACTTAGTAACATGTTACACTCCTCAGATGTTGAAAGTGAAGGTGGCTCACACTCTGCGCGACCCCAGGGACTGTAGTCCATGGAATTCTCCAGGCCAGAACACTGGACTGGATAGCCATTCCCTTCTCCAGGTGATCTTCCCAACCCAGGGATCGAACCCAGGTCTTCCACATTGCAGGCAGATTCTTTACCAGCTGAACTACCGGATGTTGAAAGAGGTCAATAAAAAGGTTTTGCTTTCCTTGGCCTTTTGAGGTATACAGAATACCTCCCAGCAAATAAATAAGCATACTTTGCTCTTGAATGATTCATTCAAAGATACTTATTAATCTCCGTGGGTGCAAGGCACTGTGCTAGGCATTAGATTAGAAATAGAAGGCAGAAAGAACAAGTCTCTGGTTATAATTGTTGGGATGGAATAAAAATCTACAAACTTCAAAACTGTATTTCCCTTTCAGCTGTTATGGAGGACTTGGGAGATCTTGTCTTGGTAAGAAATATATTTCCATTATTCAGTTTTTGTTTTTTACCTCAAAGTAGGAAAACTCATTTTTCCGGGCCATATGCTCACTTTGTATGAAAATCAGACAAAACATATGTCTACTAAGACCCAAAGGATTATTTAAGGCCCTACATTTAGTGTTCCTTAGAAATCTTAGGTAAGGGTGGAGTGGGAGGTGTTTTCAGCATTGTTTTATAGGATTCGGTAAAACAATTTTTATGTCTTAGCACCTGCCTTCTTGTGTTTTATTTTCTAATGTCTTCCCTATGCGGGTATTATGATACAGTAACTTCTAAATATCCATGGGTAACATAAGCATAAAAACCTTAGTTACATATGTTAACTTTAAACTTTTCAAAAATATGTTGGGAAAAGCAGCTAATGAAATAACACAGTGGGAGTAACAGTTATTCCTTTTAGTGTTGGACAGTATCAAAATTATACACTTTTGTGTAAAGATACTATCAGGATGAAAAGACAACCCACAGAATGGGAAAAAATATTTGCAAACCATGTATCTGATGAGGGACTTAACCTAGACTACATAAAGAACTCTTACAACTCAATAAAAAGACAGACAACCCAGTTAAAAACTGAGCAAAGGATATGAGCAGACACTTACCCAAACAAAATACACAAATCACTAACAAGCACACGGAAAAATGCTCAACATCTTAGTCATCGGAGAAATGCAAATCAAAACCACAATGAGATACCACCTAACACCCATTAGGATGGCTATTACCCAAAAAATGGAAAGCAAGAGTTGGCAAGGGTGTGGAGAAACTGGAAACTTAACACTCTGCTGCCTGGAATGGAAAATGGTGCAGCTGCCTTGGAAAATAGCCAGGCAGTACTTCCTCCTACTTACCCATTGAGTTACCATACAACCCAGCAATTTCACTCCTAGGTATATATCCAAAAGAAATGAAAACATGTTCATACAAAACTTATGAACATTTACAGCCATATTATTTATAACAGCCAAAAAATGGAAAAGCCTAAATGTCCACATCAACTGACAAATGGATAAGCAAAATGTATAGCCATACAGTAGAATATTATTCAGCTATAAAAAGGAATGAAGTACATGCCACCATATGTAAATATCTTGAACACATAATGCTAACTGAAAGAAGTCAGTCACAAAAGACAACATATGATTCCATTTATTTGAAATGTCTAGGCAAATCCATAAAGACAGAAAGTAGATTAAATGTTGCTTAGGGGAGGGGTGACAGGATGATGAGTGATAGGGGGATGATAACAAAAGAGTACAGGGTTTCTTCCTGAGATAATGAAAATATTCTAAAACTGGTGATGGCTGCACTAAAATCCACTAACTTGTACACTTTCAATGAATGAATTGTGGGATATGAATTTTAATCACTCAATAAAGCAGTTTTAATAAAAAAGAATGAAGCCAGTGTTAAATTTTAATTCAACTGCAGTCATTTAAAGTCATAATTTAACTGTCAAAAACACACACTAAAAAGTCTTAGTCTTTTAATTCATTTCAAACAATTATAGCAAACTCAGTCTTCTGCACAAGAGAAGTCTAAACTAAATATGAACTGTTGGACCCCATCATCAATTTATAATATACATAATATATGCTTTCTCTCTCATGTTCTATTAGTAGCGGCTTGTCTCCTCCTATACCTGTCTGACACAGTGTCACCGCAGCAAGCCATCGACAGCCTGAGGGACCTGCGAGGATCTGGGGCAATACAGACCATAAAGGTAAGAAGGGAGACTCTTCTCATGAGGCTGTGGTTAGGGACGGACTGTCACAGTGCAACACGTCCTCAAAGGGGCCATGAACATCCAAAGCATCCTGTTATCCATGTCTCACCTGTTTATATTTTGACTTTTTAAATTTACGTTTAAGTAAGTTCTGCTTTTCCAAACAAAATAATCAAAAATTATGAACTTTCCAGTTTATTCTTCCAGGATCCATTCCTTTTCAGTTTTTGCCCAGTCAGTTCTGGGAATGAATTCTGTCACCTGGAGAAATGAGGCAATTTTTACTATAAAACTGGTAGTTTCTTGGGTAGACTTTTGACCGAAAAGTAGCTCATGAAGATCCTCTTATGGTATCATTAAACATTTAACAAACACAGATGAATGACTCTAATAGAAAAAAAAAAGTAAAGTCATTCTAGTTATCCTTTGCTATTCTAGTTAACCAAAGTGACATCTTTCCATTTACTTTCTCTTTAAAACCAAAAACACTGGGTAGCAGTGCCCAAGGATATTACTGATCTGTAGATCTGTAATGCCAACAGAAAAATACCCCCAACTGCAGAGTTCCAGAAAATGTAAGGAGAGATAAGAAAGCCTTCTTAAGTGACCAATGAAAAGAAATGGCGGAAAACAACAGAATGGGAAGACCAGAGATCTCTCTGAGAAAAATTGGAGTTACCAAGGGAACATTTCATTCAAAATGGGCACAATAAAGGACAGAAACGGTATGGACCTAAAAGAAGCAGAAGATATTAACAAGAAGTGGCAAGAATACACAGAAGAACTATACAAAAAAGATATTAAAAACATAATAAATAAAAAAGGTATTAATGACCCAGATAACCACGATGGTGTGCTCACCTAGAGCCAGACATCCTGGAGTATGAAGTCAAGTGGATCTTAGGAAGCATTACTACAAACAAAACTAGTGGAGGTAACAGAATCCCAGCTGAGCTTTAAAAGATATGCTGTTAAACTACTGCTGCATTCATTATGCCAGCAAATTTGGAAAACTCAGCAGTGGCCACAGAACTGGAAAAGGTCAGTTTTCATTTTAATCCCAAAGAAAAGCAATGCCAAAGAATGTTCAAATTACCATACAATTGCACTCATCTCACATGCCAGCAAGATTTTGCTCAAAACCCTTCAAGCTAGGTTTCAGCAGTATGTGAACCGAGAACCTCCAGATGTAAAAGCTGGATTTAGAAAAGGCAGAGGAACCAGAGATCAAATCTCCAACATACACTGGATCATAGAAAAAGCAAGGGAATTAAAAAAAAAATCTACTTCTGCTGACTATACTAAAGCCTTTGACTATAGATCACAACAAGCTGTGGCAAATTCTTAAAGAGATGGGAATATCAGGCCACCTTACCTTCCTCCTGAGAAACCTGTATGCTGAAAAGAAAGTTAGAACTGGACATGGAAAAACAGATTGGTTCCAAATTGGGAAAGGAGTACATCAAGGCTGTATATTGTCACCCTGCTTATTTAACTTATATGCAGAGTACATCATGCAAAATGCTGGGCTAGATGAATCACAAACTGGAATCAAGATTGCCAGGAGAAATATCAGCAACCTCAGATACACAGGTTATACCACTTGAATGGCAGAAAGTGAAGAGAAACTAAAGAGCCTCTTGATGACGGTGTAAGAGAGCCTATCTCTTCTTGGCAAATAGATGGGAAAAATGTGGAAACAGTGTCAGATTTCATTTTCTTGGGCTCCAAAATCAATGCAGATGGTGACTGTAGTCACGAAATTAAAAGATGCTTCCTCTTTGGAAGAATAGCTATGTCAAACCTAGACACGGCTTTTTAAAACTTTGGAAAACTCAGCAGTGACAGAGTTTTAAAAAGCAGAGACAGCACTTTGTGACAAAGGTCTGTATAGTCAAAGCTATGGTTTTTCCAATAGTCAGGAATGGATGTGAGAATTGGACCATAAAGAAGACTGAATGCCAAAGAATTAACGTTTTCAAACTGTGGTGCTAGAGAAGACTCTTGAGAGTCCCTTGGACCAGTCAATCCTAAATCAACCCTGAATATTCACTGGAAGGGGTGATGCTGAAGCTGAAACTCCAATACTTGAGCCACCTGATATGAAAAGCTGAAAAAGACTCTGATGCTGGGAAAAATTGAGGGCAAGAGAAGGGGGTTACAGAGGATTAGATGGTTGAATGCCATCACTGATTCATGGACATGAGTTTGAGGAAACTCAGGGAGATAGTTATGGACAGAGAAGCATGGCATGCAGCAGTTTATGGGGTTGCAGAGTTGGACACGACTTAGCGACAGAACAACAATGCTAACTTGCCTTCCCTTCCCAGTTCCCTGGTCTCAGCTTTAGGACTAAGTCAGAGGAGCAGGTTTTGAAAACAGAAGCTCCCTCTTGTTACCTGTTAAAATCAAATGATGCTTCAAATTTAAGATGTTCCCAAGTGTCTCTTTGACAAGAACAAATTACATGGACAAACATATGTATATGTGTGTGTATGTGTGTTTTGCATCTTTAACCTTAAGCCCACATTAATACGAGCTGTCAGTTTATCACCTCAGCATTCTGGGGCAAACATGTTTTTTCCATCTCTATGCTGATATAAGTTAAGTTAGCAGTATGCAAGCCTAACTTGTCAATAGTAATACAAAATGAGATTTGGGGCAGGGTAAGAATATCCTCTGGACAGCTGTTAAAACGCCAAATGAATGAATTAATCTATTTTGCTTATCTGTTAAGATTAGTGATTTTATTTCAGTATTTCCTGTTATGGAAATTGTTCCAAAATGATTTTTATCATCACAAAAAGCAGACAACGAAGGCTTCTGTAAACCAAGAAATAGATTTTTCTTGAATATACTGTTAGTTGCTGTAGACAGTGCAGTTCCCTGTGGACTTACTCCCCAGGAGAAAATGCATTAGAAATAGAATACCAGGCCTGGTTTCCATGCCTGGATTGGGACAATCCCCTGGAGAAGGGAACAGCTACCCACTCCAGTATTCTGGCCTAAAGAATTCCACGAGGTAGCAGAGTCAGACACGACTGATCGACTTTCACTTTCACTTCATGTGTTATTTTTAATCTTATTTGCTCCTGCCAGTAAAGGGAGAAACGATTTTACAGACATAAAATGTTCATCTGTATTTCATAATACCTGCTAATTTATAGAGATTTTTAAAGCAAGTTTTTACACTATATATAGCTTTTGTTGTTGTTAAGTCACTAAGTCGTGCCCAACTCTTTGCAACCCCATGGACTGTAGCCCTCCAGGCTGCTCTGGCCATGGGATATCCCAGGCAAGAATACTGGAGTGGGCTGCCATGCCCTCCTCCAGGGGATCTTCCTGACCTAGAGATCGGCCTCGGGTCTCCTGCATTGTAGGTGGATTCTTTACCACTGAGCCACGAGGGAAGCCCTGTATGTGGCTTCACTGAAAGATAAAACTTCCCCAAGATGTAAATACCTCCTTACCCAAAAGGATGTAGAATCGTTTTTACCAAGTATTATTTTGATTTCTGATTCCAACTAGTATCATTACTACTCTGGCAATTAGCTTTCTACAATGTATTTCAGTGTATCTTTACTTTTTTCAGCAATATAATTACCTTCATGAGTTCCGGGACAAACTAGCTGCACACCTTTCATCAAGAGATTCACTATCAAGATCTGTATCTAGATAAAAGAATTTCAAATAGCATATATATATGACCATGTCTGAAATCTGAGTTCTCTAATAGTATTTGTATTGAAACTACTAGTGTTATCAAACTGAATGTAATGAATGTAAGTGTACATGTGCAGATATTCCTAAAGCTTTTACTGACAAATTTCATTGTGTCTCTTTCATATCTTATAGGAGATAGAAAAACTGCTAATACTATTTTCCTTTTAAAAATACACCAGCTGTTCTGCTGTATTTTACCTAGAGGTAATGCTGAAAAAGAGCATATGGGAAAATATGTTTTTATTTTTTTACCACATTCTTACCTCATAGTATTATTGGTAACTGCTGGGTGGCATATGATATAGTAACACGTATGAAAATTGCTACAAGCACCCAGGCTAAAATTATTTAAATAACTCTTACCCTCTATTCCTCTGAAAATTTCTCCCATTGTTTTCTCTACTTCATAGATATAATGAATTGTGAATTTGTCACCTCCCTCCCAATGCCAGATCATCACCAACATGTGTTTATTCAGCATTTGCTGGAATTTTCCAAGATGAGGAATTCATTGGTTCAGACAGCTATTTTTTACAGCATTGTTTTTTTAACCCTAGGAACTACAGTGGAATGAATTTAATACCTCTTTCACATTTATTTTATAAAGCACTTACCTAAAGTTTAAGTCTCCAGTTTTCTCACTCCTCCACTTCACTCTCTGTTACCTGTGTCTCTGTCTTTAAATTTCACGCTGAGCTACCAAAAGCAAGCATTTGCAGACAAGGATCACACTGTGAGTCAAAGTTACCTGTTTTAAGAGACGTCAGCAGGTTCAGTACTGCAGAATCCCACGGCTCTCTTGGCTACTGGTAGTCCCGAAGGTGACCAGCAGAGGAGGAACTTCCACACAAGCAAAGCAGATTTCACCACATCAACCCTTAATTTGTAAATAGTCGTATAATTACCAAAAGTCTTATTGTCTCTCACCCTTCTTGCCCTGATGAGCTACTTTAATTTCATTAAAGAATACTTTAAAACATTTACTAGCACTGTTTGGGAACTTCACACCAGAGACTCAGAATGTACCATAATATAAAAATCAGTGTTTTAATACTTTAGAACTTAAGGTTTTCACTCTAAGACTCTTAAGGAAGACAGGAGAATCACATATCCTTAAGGATTTCTGACCGAAGATAATAAATGCCAAAAGTTATAACAAGGAAGTTATTTTTTTTAAGTACAGGCTGCAGTAATAGATTGACCTTTCTCATAATTTTGTTGTTACAACCAAGTACAATTTAAAATCACTCCATTAAGCTTTGACAGTCACTGAAATTGACATTACCAAATCTTATTATCAGCTTTCTCCCAATACATAGCTTACTCATGAATATCTAAGAATAGCAGAAAAAATATTAGCATGGACTAACCAAGCCTTTAATCAACTGAATTTTCAAAGTACATGCATCTCAATTTCCACTGCCAAGTGCTAGTTAAGACTTTCACAATGAAATGCTTGATTATTTTACTAAGTATAAGGAAAAACATCAATTATTCCATAACAAACATGGATGTCACTACTCAAATATAATTATCCAATAAAGTTTAATAACATGTAATTCCAACATTCTTGGAAAAGAATTTTCTCTGGTTAATCTACAGGACAGCCCTCAAAACAATGAGGGAAGGGAGGCAGAGAGACCTGCTGGAATCCTGGTCATACACAAGCCAGTTAGTTGCTAAAATAGAATCAACACACAAAACTCAACCATTATCCACAAACTACACAAGGAAACATTTGAGACAGTTTTTATTAAGTATACAAAAGCAAAATCAAGCAAGCTCAAAGAAGGCAGGACAACATAAGGACATTGTCTTTGGATGGTGTACAGCACCGTTAAGGTTAACTTAGATTTTAACAAACCATGAACACAGATAGCTAACTACATTCTGTGTTTCCCTTAGTAGTTTTATGATCTACCTAGTCATCAATTTATTATTTAAGAAATTTTTCTTCTCCATAATACAAGAACATTGTAAACAAACAAATGTAAATGTTTAGGAAAAGCACTGTACGATAAGTTAACTTATTCATTCTTTTCTATGTCAAGATGTCCTCTACATCTTCCACAATATACATTAATAAAACTAATGTAGGGTAAAACCTTCACTCCGATCCCACAGATCACCTTAATGGTTAATACTGTTTTTCCAAAACCAAGCAGAACAAGCAGCAGAGTTGTTTACTCTTTTTAAGACATTTAGCTTTAAAACCATTAATTTTAATCAAAGCAAAATTGTTCCAAGAAAGCTATTCAACATATCCCGAAAGAGAACCTCATTTTCTCTCTTGGCATCATCCTACAGCATTAGTTCAGAACTATCTGCTGAGCTGTAATACTAGTGCCAGAGACTAAGTAGCTAGTTACTAATTAGCTAACAGATCAATGCCTGGTTTGAGCAAAAGAGCTTAAATTATGAGATTAACATTAATAGTTTCCTAAAACAATGACTATGAAGTTTCATAGTTTCATGAACAATGCTAGACAAGGTATTAGTATTTCTATCTGTCCCCTTTGAGAAGTGTTGTTTCAAATATTCTGGCTGTCAAAACTTCTGATTTACAATTATACAAGTGATTACCACATTTCTGAGTGGTGAAAGTGAAAGTTAGTTGCACAGTTGTGTCCGACTCTTTGTGATCCCATGGACTGTAGCCCACCAGGCTCCTCTGTCCTTAAGAGTACTGGAGTGGGTTGCCATTTCCTTCTCCAGGGGATCTTCCTGACCCTGGGATCAAACCCGGGTCTCCTGCATTGCAGGCAGATTCTTTACCAACTGAACTTTAAGTAAGTAAATTAGATATGTCCTTTTATATAGAGATCATTTTAATGGACTTGATATTATCACATTGCTGTGTGACATAGCCACACCCAAAATGAAAGCTGGCCCTCCTGCAGAGTATAAGAAAAAAATCCACAAGTCATTCTTTGTACTATGGCAGTAATATTCCATAAACTCTGTCTGTAAATATATATTGGAGGAAAAGAGAAGTGTTGTAGCAAGGAAAATAATTTGCTAGTTTCAAACTATATCTACATCTCGACTTCCTTTCTATGCAATTATCTTACATATTTTCAAAATATGTTATCTGCAGAGAGCTCTATGAACACTTAGCGTAAGTGGTCCTCGAGCCAAAAATACTGAAGAGGCTTTAAAAGACACATACTGCAAACTGTGATGCATTCTGTTGCTCTGTGTGAGACTATTACCTGGGTATCTGAACTTGACTATAGGTCTGACCATTCATGGTATGAGGCTTCTCAAATGCTTCAGTACTATCTGATACATGTCAAAAGTGGATTATCTGGTCATTTCCTGTCACTACCCTCTTCCCATGAAAAGTAATTCAAACTTCAAACAAATTAGTAGTTTATGTGCAGCCTGTTACCCAACTCTCCTCTACTCTGGGATGGGGAGTGGGGAGTATCAGTTAAATATTGTGAAAATTATCAAATAATAAAATTCAGATTCAGGCATTAGAGAATCTACCCCTATACCTCCTTAGCACTAACAGGACATATTGCCATGACACAGTATTATTACTCAATAGAATAACTGCTAAATAGACTACATTTGTTACATAATATTTTTAATGCAGGGCAATCTATAGTACCAATAGCAAGCTGCTGATATAAATAAAAACCACAGTAAGTTACAGGAATGATTTCAGAGAGTTAGAAAGCTCTTAAAACACAACACCAAAAGTAACTGTAACAAAGGAAGAATGAATTCCTAAATAAACAGCTGTGGCTGCACAGGGTACAGTCTTGACTAAAGCTGGAAAGGATTATGAACCCAGACTATGTTTCAGCTGCACATGCAGGAATAATAGAAATATGGCTAGGACCACCCAAACCAGATTAACAGGGGAACAAATTAAATTTAGAGCAAAGAAAAGAACCACTGGCATACTGTCAACTGCAAATAGTTTCTGCTTTTTCTTGGTAAATGAATTAATTTCTTAAAACACTGGTGAAGGTAAAGAGCAGATATTATGAGAGCATCCAGTTACCCAATATTCTAATTATCTACATGCCTAGGACCTAACAACCTACCACAGACTGTCAATCATCCTTGACGTATTAGCTAAGGACTACATATCTAACTTCTGAAACATGTGAAGGTGGCTTCCACAAATTGCAACCAATAAACCTGGCATTAATCCTGGAGAATACTGTGAAATAATTATTAAAAGGATGTTTGTTAAAATTCACAAAGGAATGTGGTGGTTGCTAAGAGGAAGGGCTCATGAAAATACTTTGATGGGAATACAAAAGTAACTGCCCCAGAAAACTCATCTGAAGTACAGAAGACTTGGCCAAGTCTCTCATGATAAAAAGTTCTTGTGAACAAGAAAGAAAAATGAGTGCATGCTGGTACAACTGGGTGGATTAGAAGCTAAATGGTTGCTTATACTCAGATCACAAGTCTATAGTGCCTAACTAGGGCTCAATTAACAATTTACTGCATGAACGAATGAACAGTCAGATCCCCTGAGGTGTGCTCCAGACTACAAAATGCAAGGTCTTTAAGCGTCTCTCATTATGAAATGGTTTGACTCTCCTCACTCTCTGGTTCTATATCCTTTTCTTCAATGTATTTACCCCTATTACCCAATCTCAAAATAGTAACCTTCTCCCGAAGGTGGGGAAGCATTTCTTCACTAGCAGAGCATAAAACAGCATCTAATTCAAGGGCTACTTAGAATAAGACTTGCACAAACACATCCATAAATCCCCTTGGTCATTACGTGGAATTTCTACATATGATTTTCTCCCTTGATCCTTTAAGAAACTTTGAACCACTTACACTATTTTCAATTGCCTTAACTTACTCCTCTCAAATAAACCACAAGAATGCTTAGGAAAACATGCAAGCCATAAATCACCTGCCTTTCAAGCAGCAGCAAAAAAAACCCAAACACAAATGTATAACTCATTTCACCTTAAAACCCTGCTGTTTCAAAAAGGAAAAAAATACTTTAAACCTTTTAAGTTTCACAATAATTTTAATTAGTAAGAAAAATGATGATGCTATGCCATCAGTGTTTATGAATCTTGTCAAGTGACAACAGACGGTAATGTACTTAACCATTTAAAAATTGTCCTTTTTAGATCCAAGCATGGTATTAAAAAACAAAAAAGTAATACTCTACTATCTTCTTAAAAAACTGACAGTGATATGTCTTTTATTTGGAATAAGCAAGTTTAAGAAATAGCTATTTATAATCTTTAAAACAATGCACTGAAAATAAGTCTTAATTTCAGAGTTTTATTGTATTGCACTAAAGGAACAGCAGGATGGTTATACAATGTTCTCTCTCATTCGGTTTTGAAAATCTAAAGTACTTGCAAATTCTTAAGAATACCTTTACCACCAGATTAAAACATTTACTAACCAATTTCTTAATAAGTAAAGTCTCACAAATTAAAACACATTTAAAATAGCTTTAAATGCATTCTTCACAAGTAAGTCAGCGTGTATTTTTGTATCATGTTCACTTATGCTTAAGAATTAGAGCAAGTATATTATTCTGGTGGAAATATGGGGAAATCTCTCATTCATGCAATATACAGGGGTAGTATTTCAAGTCCAAGGGGAAAAATTCCCACTCTTGTTTCTTTAATGCATCCATATATAATCACCTACATGATAGATAAGGAAACCCATGAAGTTTCCCACAGATCAGATACATATTTTCAGTTCATCAGAAGCACCTGATATCTACAACTAATTTATAATTAAATGGCATTTCAATAAAACCAAAGTGAGCCCTACCAGTTCCTATAAAGGAAAGCTTCCAACGACTAAGGACGGTCAATAATCAACGCAGCCATTCAAGGGGTCACGGCTGTTCCTCAAGGAGTGCAAGTTCAAACCTGTCGACACCAGAGGTATCATTTTATATTAACTTATACGTGATTCTGTTTACATTCTTTATCCGAGTATAACATATGAAAACAGTCTTTCCACAAGCAAAAAATGTGGAAACATTTAAAAAATAAGGAGTCATTTTTAAAGTAACTGATCAGATTCCATAGGCTACTCTTGGAAACAGGATCTTGCTGGATAGAATCCCTTCGTTGGTGGCTTTTTGCATGCACTTAACTGGACCAATTCTTCTAAGCGTTGTCCTAAGAGCTCACCAAAACATAGATCATGCTGAAAAGAAGAAAAAGGCTACTGTTAATTCAAACATTTCTAACTATAAAAACTAACAGTACCAAAAAGTTGAGTCTGCTTTATATAGTAAACTAGTTTGTGGTATCACAACATCACAGAAAATGGTTAAGACCAATGACAAGTTCACGATACGATTTTAATCTGCGTTTATGGACTTTTGCCTAAGGTACGACTGGCTCAGTACATGGGCTGAGTTGTCCCCTATTTCCTTTCCAATTTTAGCAAGTAGAACAGCACAGCTGAAAGCTTAATGGGGGATCAGAGCTTAGAAAAGCAATCCAAAACAGCACACTGCTCCAGAGCTGTATCTAAGAATAGGAGTGAGCACCTCCAAGGGCTCACTTCATGCCAGGCCTTCTGCCAGGTCCTAGGAGGTAGGGTACATACCATTATTATCCCCATTTTACAGACAGGAATGATCAAGGAACTTTCCCATTAGAGAAAAGCTCTAGGCAACAGCAGCAAGTTTAAAAAGAAAAGGAGACCAAAAAGCAAAATAAAAAGCAATAACCATTGAATCCTACATGCAGGGCAAAGTGAGAGAGCATGGTTCAAGAGCATGTGTGTCTAAATGGAAATACAAAGCAAGGAGGTGAGCAAAGCTTGATAGACAATTTAAAATAAATGAATGGGACTTGCCTGGTGGCGCAGTGGATAGGAATCCGCCTGCCAGTGTAGAGGACAAGGCTTTGATCCCTAGTCCAGAAAGATTCCACATGCCACAGAGCAACTAAGCCCATATGCCACCGACTACTGAAACCATGCTCTAGAGCCCATGAGCCACAACTACTGAAGCCTGCACGCCGCAGCAAAGAGCAGGCCCTGCTTGCCAGAACCAGAGAAGGCCCCCACAGAGCAACTAGAACCTAGCGCAGCCAAAGATAATAAAATTTAAGAAACAAATAAAACGGAAAACATAGTCACACCATCTCCTGGTGAACATTTTCCCACAACTCTAATGAATAATTCATTTGCCTTCTTTCAACAAGTATGTTTTAAGTGTCTGCTAAATGCCAGCGCTGTTTCAGACACTTATTATAGAAACTAAAATATGAAAATTAACAGAAATTAAAAGGACACATGGAATTTCACTTTTCAGAACCTCTTCACTCTGTTTCATGTATGAACATCTGCAGACAATCATTTTTCACAAATATAACCTCTAAAGGCCTAAAAGTTCATTTTCCATAAATTTTAGTCTAGCACTTCACCCTCTTCCATAATGGAAAGTAATATGAACAAGAAATATGACTACATGCCTACCATTTTAATACTAAGCAAGTCTTCAAGTAACAAAAAGGAGAGGGAAGAGAACCTTAATTACTGCAATAATTTCATCTAATACAATTTTCCTCATATCTTGAAAATTGGGTGGAAATTTCTAAGTTGAATACATATCAATAAAATATGAGAGAGATGTATTTATATAAAGAAAAATTATAACTGTATTCTAGCCCTAGTTTTATTCTAGTTTTAATAAGCAGCTGTTTTCCTCCACCTACAGGACACCTAGAATACTGGCTCTCAACCAGGGCAATTTCACCCCACAGGGAGCATCTGGGAGCGTCTAGAGACATTACTGGTTATTATCACTGGGGCAGGGGGTGCTATAGGCATCTAGGATAGAGGCCAGGAATGCTGCCGAACATTCTACAATGCACAGGACAGCTTCTCACAGCAAATTCTGTCTTGCCCAGAATATCAACAGTGCCAAGGTCAAGAAACCCTGATCGAGAGGAATGATATGAGTCCATCTCAGTATAAAAGGATGAAAATCAGTAACTGCACCATCCTGTATGACAGAACTTTTCTTTCCTTCATGCCATACAGAGCATGCAAACCAGAAAATAAAGGGTAGAACATATAGTTAAACGAGAATGATTTTTAAAAAAATTAAACATAATCTTGAGACAGACACTGAGGCAAGCAAAAACTTTTGCAAATGGACACAACCACATGCTCTTGCTCTGCCATGGAAAATGAGGACTATCCTTCACTGGCTGTCTGAGACTCTGGAAGCAGCATCCCCACCCGTTTTCTGCCTCTGACTGCACACCAGCTGGCTGCCTTGACAAGTACCAGTTTAGTCAATGTGCGTGAATTTGTCAGTGTGCACTGCGCCATCACCAGTACCACCATTCAGGACGTGAGTTACTCTTCAAGTGGGTTTTAAGGTGTTCAGACCTAACGCCTGCAAATGGTTCAGGCAGCAAAGTAAAATGGTATTTTCATTTTTTAAACTTACCCATATAGGTAGTAAAAAAATGCTAGAAGATAAAAAGCTAATTTGCACCATCCTTCTTTCTGACAATATGCTAGAATATCTGCATTCATGATGGTTGTAGGATCATAGAGTCCTGGTCCACTCATCACTGGTCTACTCATATACCTGTAATAAGCACAATTGATTAGCCACTCAGACTGGAAGCTAAACTTCAAGATGGACAGCAGCATTCTTCTCAAAATAATATTGGTTACAATGAGAGGTGGTCCACATAGAGAAGCGTACTTTTAGTTCTAGGTGGAGTTCTTTCCTTTTATCCTCTTAATTTTAAAACTAGAGCCCCTAAAGGGGAAAACAGAGCAGTTAAAACAAGGCCCATCTGGTCTCCTCTACACTTTCAGAAATCCAAGAGAATTACAAATAACTGTAAAAAAGGAAAGACGATTTTTTTCCTTTCAACTTTCTACTTTAACATAAAGAAGCCTTTACCAAGATGTTCCAAATGTTCACATTAACCATGAGGCTTTGTCCTTCTCTTTCCCTTCTCTAAATACATAAACACTTTTTCCTGAGCCATATCAGAGCCCATTACAGATATGAAACCACTTTACTTCTAAGTATTTCTTACATGTGTACTTCCTAAAGTTAAGGGCAATGAGACTTGGCCTATCTGAAACAAAACATGTAGAAGTTATGAAATATGACTCTTTTATAAATAACCAAATTTAGAGTCATAAAGTAAACAAGGAGAAAGAAGGACACACACTGTACAATCTGATTTACATGAAGTTCAGAAATAGACAAAACTAATCTAAGTGACAAAAGATCACTGGTTCTCCTGAGGAAGTTAGAGGGTAGCTGGGAAGGGTCACGAGAGACTCTTCTGGGGGCTGGAACTAACGTATATCTTTATCTGGGTGGTGGTTTCACAAGTGTACACAGACATAAAAATCCACTGCGCTGTACACTTCAGACTGGGCACACATTACTGTAAGTGAGATACAGCTTAATATTTAAAACCCCTTTAACAAATAGTAACATAAGCTCCATAAGAGGTATTAAAGCAGTTATTTGTTCATCCATGTGGTGTAAAAAATAAATGCCAACTACTTTCATTTAAGGGGCTTCCCTGGTGGCTCAGTCGGTAAAGAAACTGCCTGCAGTACAGGAGATCCAGGTTCGATCCCTGGGTCGGGAAGATCCCCTGGAGAAGGAAATGGCAACCCCCTCCAGGATTCTTGCCTGGAGAATCCCATGGACAGAGGAGCCTGGTGGGCTACAGTCCACGGGGTCGCAAGAGCCGGACACGACTGAGTGACTAAACCACCACCACTTCCATTTAGGTGACGAGTATGTTAAGATAATCGTAACAACCATAGTATAATTAAAATTTAAATAGGAGAAGTATTAGAAGTGTATCTCAGTATTACCTCCAAATGTGATATGCCAAGAGGGGCATGTTGAGACCCAGCGTAAGCCACTCTGCCGCACAAAGAAACATGACGCAGAAGAAGGCGTGGATGAGGTATTCCGGGAGGACAAGCTGCAGGGAGAACACACCAGTCACCGGCGATCACGCACCGCCGCACTAAGTCAACTGCTAAGCTGCAGGGCAGGTGGCAACTGAGTTTCCATGGTGAAAAAGCACTTGTTTTCTTACAATCAGAAATGAAAAATGCTGAGTTTTATTTTCATATTTAACTTCTGACCAAAAGCAGGATTATATGCAAACTGACCAGAGGTTATAGCTTGCACTAAAACAATAATATGTGACTCAAAATTTAAAACCCAATTTCTTACAACAGGTTAAATTATACAAAGTTACCACCCAGATTGTTCAAACACAGCTATTTACTAATCACTTAGAATAACTTAGAATATTTTTTCTTTCCACTATTTAAAAATGATAAAAATATAAAAATGAAGTATCTGATCACATGCAACATGATATAAAAAAATTCACAAGAACAAAGCTCCCTTTAGAAGTTTACACATTAGTGTTTTTAAGCCTTTAACAGAAACCAGGGTGCTACAAATACAATATTTAGCAAAACACACATTACCACAAAAGTAATTTTTCAATGGAAAGCCAACAGCCAATAATCTCAGCACAGTCGGAGTGGAAGAACACTAAAATGCACAGATGCAAACAATGTGCTTTCTGCAATGTAGGAGGGAAAAGACTGGGATCTAAACCATAAAACTGGAATTCTCCCTGTTCCTGAGCTCCCATCCCTACACAGCTTTCCTGCTTCTTTCGGCCCGCTTTCTCCAGGGAAGGGCTACAAACACAGCAGACCAGTAGCGGCTCAGAACTCAAAAACAAAATACATCTTTTGATAGCAAGCAGTAAGTGAAGATAAATTAGCCCAAGGAAAATGCTTTTTATAAATGACCAAGAGTTCATGCTTTAAATTATCTTTCTCATCCTAAAGATTTCAGTCTAACGACTCTGTGAAATACGAATACCAAAACCTTTCACTGCAAGTCTCAGCCAGTGTCCTACAGTAAGTCACAGCTGCAAAGCCAGTTTCTCAAATGTGCCTGTACTCTACCACCAGATCTTTCCTGAGGGAAAACTACAGCTGTAGAAATAATATAATTATATTACTTATTCAAGCCTTATACATTTCAAGTACTTATACATTTTCTAGTACTCCCAAATTATCCTTCCCATTCAAAGCTGTAAAACAAAGTTTTTAATTAATACTATTTTAAATAAAATTCCAACAAAACCAATTAATCTGTATTTTCCACAAATTTAAGTAATATAGTAATAAGATTAAACTCAGCACAAATATAAACATATAAATATAAATAACATGAACTGTTAAATCAGCATTTAGTTAAGATCAAAGTTAAACATCTGTAAGAAAACAAGAAAGCGTCTACAGGGAAGTCTTTGAAACACAAAGACTACAACCAGGACAAGCCAAGAAAAATATACATTTTATTAGGAGTTCCACTAGAGCTGCTGTTTATAATACTAGTTTAAACTACAAGATTTTTCTTTATAATATAATAAGCCTATTTCAGTTCTCTAAAAACCAACCGATCTAACAATACAAATCATCATTCAAGTTTTCATTCTACACTTCCAGACTAATGTACAGGGAGAAAATGACTTTCAAAGCATGCTCCCTACTGCTTTTAAACAGTCTTCTTTAATAAGACTGATAATGAAGGTCATCTGCAATTCTACCAGTTCTAGTATGAAACAAATGCCATACTCCCTCCCTTCTCCTCAAAGCAATCCAGAAACTTGTATTATACATCTCTCATGAAGACCAGCACTCTTCATTCCTCAGTAATGAAATTTCCCCATAAGTGGCACAAAATTATTCCATTTAGGAACCAACATTTACACAAAAACTAGTATTCATAAGAAACACCCCATGCAAATACGGCTGAAACGACAGTACTTAAACATGCAAGCCACACTATTCTCCAGGTAAGAGCCGCACTCTAAGATGGAATTGTCTGTCTTCCCCCGTACTTTGGCAGAATTGTCAAACAAACTCTCAATAGGGAAAACTGTCAGATGCACTGCTATTGAGCCAAGTATCGGCATCCTATCCAAAACACAGCTTAGGCTGATGTACAAGCTTCCCTCTGACCCACTGCAGCATTTGGAGGTCCCAAGCACAAAGTGAGAATTTCTTTCCATTAAAAAAAGCTACAAATCACAAACTGTATGTTAAAATGAAATGAATCCATCTTAGATTTACAGTAAATTAGGAAAACAGAAGAATCTGAAGCTAAAAATCAGGCTGAGTTCCAATTCTGACTCTATGTTAGCAGTGTGACCCTGAGCAAAGTGCTAGAACCTCATTAAGCCCCAGTTTACTCTCGTTTAGAGTATGATATACCCACCTCAGGATTGTCATGAAAACTGAATGAAAAAACTCAGGTAAAGATGTTTAGCACAGAGCCTGGCACCCAGGACAGCCCTCATCTGATTTCAGCTATTATTATCTTCATCATCATTTGGTTATTTGAAGTAATGAAAAGCCAATGAAAATAGGAAACTACTAATCAACAACCATCAAAGGAGAAATTTCAGCTCAACTTCTTGGTAACAATTAAAGGTAAGTTAAGACGTTTTACAATGAACACTACTACTTTCCAGTGAGAAAGCAGATTTATCTTTTATTTTGTTTCATAAAAGTAGAGAAACAGCTAATACTTTTAACTGTACCTGCATCAAGTCTTATTGTATCAGTTCTTTACAAACTAGGAATGTATTCCATCATTCCTATTTATCTAGGAAACAATGATAAAGAAGCAAATTAACTTCACAGACCCTTTCCAAATAAAATCTCTCTGGCATGCCAGTGTTTCAGTTTTACACAGCTCAAATCTATATATGTTTTCATCTTCATTAAGTAATTTTTAAAGATGAATTAGTAGTCTATTTCTTGAAGACATACACACTGCTTTCTTACAAACAACCTTACGGTTTCTGGCCAGTTCAACAAAAATCAAACCTACAGTCTAAAGGAGAATCTTCCTGAATGAGCAAACTAAATGAAGTAAAAATAAACATATGGCCCCAAGCACAATGGGGCCACATTATAACTAAATCCAGAAGAGCTCAGAACTTAGTGTAAGACAGTTCCGTTTTAGAAATTTAGACTGGATATACTAGAAATAACTATGCAGACATTTGTATACAAATTGTTAACCACAAAATTCTGACAGCATGAGTCGGAGGGTAAGCATTACTCCAAGATCTCAGAACCTAAGAACAGGGCTACCCACGTAAAAGGTTCTGAATAAACAGCAGCTGAAAGAGTAAATAAATTCCAGAACCAAAGACAAAAGTAGATATGGTACTAAAGGCTCCACCTAAAGACTATCTCAGAGTAAGTCACAAAAGAAGAATAATCTCACCTATTAAAGTAATTTCAGGTTAACCAACTTTCAAACACTGTACCTAATAATCTAATATTGAAGTGCCTATAGCTATAACATTTTTTAAAATGCATGAGCATTTAACAGCTTTCCCTACTTGACTGGGCCAGCAAGCAAACATTTGCATAAAATATGAAATTTCATGAAATCAGAAACCTCAACAGGCATATGAACAAGCACACTGAACAGAACAGTTTACAAATACAAATGCCTAGCCCTCCCCATGAAATGAAAGCAGCATTAAAACATTAAACTAAAAAGCAGTACACACCTTTAATGCAATTTTGACTCTTTTAATCTTTTTGACCTTTTCAACTGTCTTTGGCCGACAATGTAAAAAGCAGATTGGAAGAATGTTAGTATGACAGCTGACAAGATCACCAGCAGATTAATAATAGTCAGAATAGTCAAGCAGGACAGGAAAAAGAATATTTTTTAAAATTCTGCCTACTTAAAAAAAGTACAAATTTACCATGCTACTGAGAATACTGGCCATTTTCAAATTATATCAAGTTAAAAGCAAAAACAGTTTAAAAATCTAGAGAAATATCCTATATTATAACTTACAGGATTCAGGGTATTACACTGGTCTATAGGATTCTTGTAATCAGTCTTCAGCTCATCGAATGCTATAATCTAAAATAAAAAAAAAATAGTTAGGATCTCCCACTTTAACAAAAAGTGGCAACAAACCTGCCCCATCAAGCAATAATTCAATAAAGTTAATGAAGAAGTGTACTAACTTTACATGTACCAGTTTACAGTAAACACAGTATGTGCTCATTAACAAATAACTATAATCACATTTAAAGAACTGAAAACATGTACATCATTATCACTAAAATGATAAATATCTTCAATTTTCAATTTTTTCAATGCCTCCACTCAAATTATTTTCTCTGCTTGAAATAGTCTTTCCTTAAGCCATAATTATTTACGGAAACCCCTCTTTATCATCCTAAAAAACACTCTTCCTATGTCAACCCCTCCCAGTAGATTTCCCTGACTTCCTTGGGCAGAAATAACTGCATGCCTGTCTATCATCTCCACATAGCACAGGGCTTTATAAGGCTACCAGGCTGGCATTGCTCATACTAGAGAGGATTTAAGTTCAGGTTTGTGCCCTCCTCCAGACTCTGTGCCCCTCAGGGTGAAGTGTTTTTAATCATCTGTGCATGTCCACCTCCGTCACAGTGTTCAGTAGGACACCAGAAATGGACTCGCATGCTTCAATTTGTTCCCATTTGTGTCCAAACACATATATTTCAAGGGCCTGCTTTGATTTGGAAATTTCAAGAAATGGCCTCAGAATAGCAGCTTCTGCACAGGACCAAAGGCCAGGTGGGACACAATGCCATCGCAGGCTCCTGCTGCCAAACACCCTGGCATGGGCTTTGCACCAGGGCTTGTTCAGGAGCGAGGACTTTTCCAGTCCTTCTGCCTCAAGGGCATCTTATTCTAAAAAACCTTAAGACACCACACAGCAAAGAGTAGGCCTGTTTAAGGCCACTACAAAAGTGATCAATCTGACCTTGTTTCATGTCCTCAGTATATTCCTGCCACGTGCAGGTCCTTTCATCTGGTCACCAAACGAAAGACTAAAGAAAGGTAAAGCCCAGGTTAAGGCCAGCTTCTCAGGGTGTGACAAGTGAAACAGTTACATACGTGGTAAGGGGGGAAAGAGCTCACTCACTTAAAATACATGGCAAGAGTAAATCAACTAAAATCAACTTTAATATAAATAAATAAATGAACAAATACATTTTTTTAAATCATACCATTAAAAAAAAAAACAACCATGGAAAGAATCACAAATTATTCTGTCCAAGAAACAGACTCACAGACTCAAGAGAATGATCTTAAGGTTGCCAGGGGGAAAGGATGGAGGGGAAAAGATAGGGAGTCTGGGATGGACAGGGACACACGGCTATATTTAAAATGGATAACCAACAAAGACCTACTGTATAGCTCAGGGAACACTGCTCAATGTTATGTGTCAGCCTGGATGGGAGGAGAGTTTGAGGGAGAACGGATACATGTATATGTATGGCTGAGTCCCTTTGCTGTCCACCTGAAACGACCGTAACATTGTTAACTTGCTATACTCCAATGCAAAATAAAAAGTTTAATTTAAAAAAATACGTCAACGGGGGTTAAAAATGTTTCTGTCCAAACTCTGAAAAGAAATGTGGCATTAATATTTTGGGTCAATGAACACAGAATTTCAAAACCAAAATGCACGAAAAATCAAATTGGGGTGACACAACACTCTGTGGTGTTCAATGTCACAGTAAGAAGCCAAAGGCCCCAAGTTTACAGAGAAGCTATTTTACCTGCTGCCACTAATCACCCAAGGGACAGAGAATTCAATCCGCCCTTCCTCTGGTGGGCTAGGACTAGTATCTTTATATGTGAGACAGTGCTACTCAATATTACCAAAAATCACTTAAGTCATATATTTCTACCTTTTAATATGCTGGTTTAAATCCTTAAACCTTAATCCTTAAATCCTGTTAAAATCCTTAGCTTCATAAAAAGATGAATTTGATTTCTGGAATTTTTATAAAATTCACCAACCTGGCCTAATAAAAATTCTAATGCAAACAGAAATGGAAGGAAATTAAACATTAAAATATAAGCTCCACGAAAGCAAAGGTTTTTGCTGGGTTCACTGCTCTGTTCCAGGGCCTAAAATAGTGCCTGGCACATAAAGTTAAGTGTTCAATCAATATTTACTGAATAAAAGGTGGGGGAGGGAAAAAAACAACCCTATGCTTAAAATAAAGTACAGAACTCACCAAAAGGCATTTTCCCTTGGGACTCCCTGATAGCCCAAAGAATCTGCCTGCAATGCAGGAGACCCTGGTTCAATTCCTGGGTCAGGAAGATGGGCTGGAGAAGGGATAGGCAACCCACTCCAGTATTCTTGGGCTTCCCTTGTGGCTCAGCTGGTAAAGAATCTCCTGCATGCCTGAGACCTGGGTTTGATCCCTGGGTTGGGAAGATGCCCAGGAGAAGGGAAAGGCTACCCCCTCCAGTATTCTGGCCTAGAGAATTCCATGGACTATATAGTCCATGGCATCACAAAGAGTCTGACACGACTGAGTGACTTTCACTTTCAATGACCCATAACACACATACATGTTAAAAACACAAGTGTACAATTAAAGATATCAATTTATGATGTTTTATAGATATTATTGATGTTGAAGCCGAAACTCCAATACTTTGGCCACCTGATGCGAAGAGCTGACTCATTTGAAAAGACCATGATGCTGGGAAAGATTGAGGGCAGGAGGAGAAGGGGACGCCAGAGGATGAGATGGTTGGATGGCATCACCGACTCAATGGACATGGGTTTGGGTGGACTCAGGGAGTTGGTGATGGACAGGGAGGCCTGGCATGCTGCGGTTCATAGGGTCGCAAAGAGTCAGACACGACTGAGCAACTAAACTGAACTGACAGATATTATTAGTCAATTATCTGATATCAGCTGTGATATACTCTCAGAGAAATGGCAACCCATTCCAGAATTCTTGCCTGGAAAACTTCATGGACAGAGGAGCTTGGTGGGCTACAGTCCATGGAGCTGAAAAGACTCGGACCCGACTTAGTGACTAAACTACCACCACCATAAGCTTTAAGACTAGGACCATGATCACAAATACAATTACTTCCCTTTAACAAGATCCAATTTAATAGCAAAGTACGACACTTGTACTTATACTTTTTTCCCACTGGACATTTTCTTCAGGCGATTTCAAAGGATCTTTTAATGAGTTTGTTGCTGAATGGGTTTCTGTTTGAGTGCTATAAGCTAGAGTTGTCAAAACTCTTCTGAAGAGACTCTTAAAACTAGTGGTTTTCAAATCTTTTGTGACTGTGGGTCTGGACAAGGATGTTCACAAAATTTTCCACAGAAGCTCAAAAACGAAAATAAATAATTTGATGCACATCTTTGGAGAATGACTTCTGCACTTTTAGCTTTCAAACAAGCCTGTGCTCCCCAGCTCTGTTCTCCAAAAAGCATCAAGCACATGAATGAGGACTACACTGACAAATGTAACCATCAGCATTAAAAAAAATCCTCCATAGAAGAGTTAACATAAAGGAGAGTTTTTAAATCTATACTTGAAATTTCCAGATGACTCTTCTCACAGATACTTAAACTACCTAAGAAAACAAACTGAAGGTTACATAGATAACAGAAAAATTAAAACTATGTCTTTATTTAGAATTTTCAATTTGTTCCCAAAGGATGCATAATCCTCTGAACTACTAAGAAATCCCTAAGGACATAAGCTCTCCACTAATCTGAGTACAAACAAATTTTTAATTCTATAACAAGACTTAAAACTATCTGTGCGAGCTGTATGCTAAATCACTTCAGTCATATCAGACTCTCTGCGACCCTATGGACCAAAGCTCACCAGCCTCTCTGTCCTTGGGATTCTCCAGCAAGAATACTGCAGTGGGCTGCTGTGCCCTCCTCCAGGGGATCTTCCCAACCCAGGGATCAAGCCTGTGTCTCTCATGTCTCCTCCAGTGGGTTCTTTACCATTAGCACCACCTGGGAAATCCACCTCCCCCCCAAATACCTAATTCACCCAAACACATATTCATTTAAATTGCCCATTTTTTAAAAAGTGCATTTCCAGGTTTTCTTTAAGTCAAACACAATCTAGTTCAAAATGTAAGCATCCACAGCTCTTAAGAATCCTCATCAGCTCATCAGAAAACAAGTGCCCATGAAGCAGGAAATGACTAAATCCTCATCTACAGATGGCAGGGAACCACACATTTCAGTTTCATCAGAGGCTTACTAAGGCAGAGGTAGTCTGCATCCCGAATTATCTTTATTTATTAAGGAAGAGTCAAAGAAGAGTCCAAAATGCTCTTCAAGTTATGGGTTCCTACTGAAAAGCATTTCCAGGGAACAGTTACTTAACAGCCTGCATAAGCATTCCCCACTACACAAGCAGTTGGGTTTCAAATATTTATAAACATAATCACCCTCTTTAGCAAAAGGAAATGGATTTAGATTTTTTTTTTTTTTTTGCACACGACACTGCTGCCACTTAAATCACTCTGCTCCTCTGTTCCGTAACAAACCTTGCTATGGACATGATGAAACCTGACTTAAGATTTACCTAAGAGTGAACCTGCCCCATCATCCAAATTAAGACCAATATTCTAGAAGGTACGGAGGGCAGAGCAAACATAAGATAAATTTTAAATGAATGCTGATTTCCAAAAGGCTGCTTCTAATCTTATGTTAGAGAAACAGGAATCCTTAAAAAATCTCTTGAAGAGGGCTTCCCTGGTGGTCCAGTTATTAATAATCTGAATTGCAATGCAGGAGACACCAGTTGGATCCCTGGTCCAGAGACCCCACACGCGGCAGGGCAACTAAGCCTGCGTGCCGCACTACTGAAACCTGTAAGCCCGAGAGCCCAGGCTCCAAAACAAGAGAAGACACTGCAATGAGAAGCCCACGACCACAACAAAGACCCAGGGCAGCCAAAAATAAATTAAAAAAAAAATATATATATATATATATATCTTGCATAACTATTTTAGAGAAACAAGAATCCGTAAAGATCTCTTGCAGAACTATTTCACAGAGAACTTAACTTGTTCCTTACAGGGACCAGTAAGGATGTGCTTCTGTACCGCAACATGATATGAATAAAAGGGGGAAAACTGTCCTAGAGAAGCCTAAGTTTTCTGAGCATTTTCAAAATCAAAATGAAACTCTCTCTACTACGTCAAACTACTCCGAATACAGAGGTGGCTAAGAAGACTTGTCTCTGGAGAAACTCCGTAGGTCAAAGTATGATTTAGGGGAAAAGTTCGGATTTAAGGTCAACAAAGTAATCAATTCAACCTGCATCAAAGTTCACCGGGCAACAAGAATCCGGGGAGGAAAAAGTGATTTTACTTGAAGTGCTGAAAAGCGGAGTTGGAAATTTATCTAAAGTAGGTTACGATTTGGGCCACACTCCTGTGAATACCCGAAAACAAAGGCAATCAGTATGAAATATTAACAATAATTAGGCAAACTTCATTACGGCTAAGCACGTAGCACGCCTCTCCGCGCCCTTGACATCCTGCGTGTGACGCGAGACCTCGGGGATGCGGAGCGGGTTAGCTAAGCGCTATCCCGCAGGGCCCGTCAGCGTCGCGGCCGCCCCACCCGGCGCGGGAAGAGCAGCGGCGCGCGCGGCCTGCGCCGGGACACCGCGGGCGCAGCCAGCCAACCGCCCGACGCCTCGACTCCTCCTGGACCTGCAGCTCCCGACCCAGGGACGGAGGGGCGCGTAGACCCCTGGCCGCGCGGCCTGCACCGCCCCGGCCTGGCCCCATCCCCGGCGCGCCGACCTCCGAAGACCGTGGCCGCCCAGACCACGGGCCCGGGGCAAGAAGAGGCTGCGCCGCCACCTCGCCCTCCTTGCCCCGGCCCCGGTTACTCACGTGCCAAATGGCGAAGAAGATGAGCGCGGCGGTGAGCAGCAGCGCCAGCATATAGCAGAAGGCCGCGAACGTGAACGCCATGGCCGGGGAGAAGGCAGCAGCGCCGGTGCCAGCGGAGAAAGGCCGCGCAGGGCCCTCTGGGTAAAACCATTCACTTCCCGCGGCCACAGCCCACACAGCCTCTTGCCGCCGCCCCCGCCGCCGCGGCCCCCTGCTCTTCCAATGCGCCTGCGCACCGGTCCCGGTGCAAGACGCCCTCCGGTGGCCAGAGTTCGCCATGCACTTATATTGTTTGCATAGCGGATTGATTTATTTTGTTTACTTCGCTTATTTATTCTTTGAACAAAAATGTTCATTGAATGAGTACCCAGTATCTTCCAAATACTGTGCTTCTTCTTTGAGATACAAAAATGAGTAAAATAATCCTTGCACGGAAAGACGTTAGTATAATGCCGGAAATGAATATGCAAATAAATCATTACCGTATTATAACCCTGTGGCACGTTGTGAAAGGTCAGAGCACAGCAACCAACCCGCCCTGGAGCGTCCAGGAAAGGATTCCTGGAGTAGGCGTTTCTTAAGTAAAGCTAACATGATGGATAGAAGTAGTCCAGGCATATTTGTCCAGGCTATAGAATCAGCCTTCCAAGGAGACGGTTCAACGAAAGCAAAGGCAGAGATGAAAGTAAGAAAAAAAGCTCAGTGTCTTAGGTGAAACCACCTTAGCAATTCTAGATTAGTGGTTAAGACAGTGTTGAGAGTTTGAAAGGGGTCCCTTAGGGTTTAGATCATATCGTACAAGGATATGCCAGTTAAGGAGCTCAGACTTCATATCCCGTAAGCCCATGTTTTTCAATCAGCTCACCATACACAATTTGACTTTTTCACTGCAACACAACAGAACATCACACACGTTGAATTATAGAGAGATGGACATCTGGATATAGAGACAAAGAAATTCAGATATAACAAAAATTTCACAAAACAAGACTACATATCCACAAGTACCTATCCTGTTATTCTTTTTTGCTGTTTTGTTTTTAATATTGGTTGAGATCCAGAAAATTGGCTCACCCCCCTGCTCAATGATTGCTGCTGATGAAGTGGAAATCACTGAAAGCTTTTAAACAAGAGAGGGACATATCTAGCTTTGCATTAAAAGATCGCTCACACCAGCAAAATGTATAGAGAATGGTTTAGAAGCAGTCTGTCCAGTGCTGTCCACAGAACTTTCTGCAATGGTGAAAGTTTTCTTTATCTGCGCTGTTCAATATAGTGGCTCTTGATCAGTTGCAATGTAGCTAGTATAAATGAAGAAGTGAACTTTACATTTTACTTATTTTAATTAATTAAAGTTTAAAGAACCACATATGGCTAGTGGTTGCTGTCTTGGATAGCCATCAGGATTATGTGGCACCTTGGTGCAAATTATAAAGGTATTCTCTCCAGATAAACAGAGCTTCATACCTGGGCACAAGAATGCAGGTTATTCTTCAGTCCTACTAACCTCCTTGGCCAGTCACCTCTGGCAATATACAAATTGCCCAACTGACACGATGACCCTAATTAGAGAAGTGAGAGATTGGAAGCAAGGAGCCCATAAGAATGATCCAGGCAAAAGTTGCTGTGACTCTGACTAAAGTTGTGAAAACTGGGAGAGAAAGGAGTGGATAGATTTAATAATATTTAGGAGAAATGCTCAGTAGGACTTGATTGACTGGATACAGTGGTGAGAGAGAGGTAGGTGTCAAAAAAGATGTATATGGTACTACAGACCATGGAAGCATGGCAGAATGCAGCACTAGGCAATATTTGTGCCAGGAGAACTCATGATCTAATGAGATCAGACAGTTTCCTGTTGTCAGGGGAAACAAGAGTTGGTGAGGAAAATTGTCCATGCCAAACCATGAGAGCCAGCCACCTTCTTATAAATGAGTCCAATCTACATTTTGGAAAATGATGTTTCATCACCATTTACCTTGAGGATCTACCTTTTGGCAACTAGCTCCCCTGCCCCCTTGGTGAAAAATTAATAAATGGAAACCTGAATTAAACAGGGTCTGGAGACCAGAAGGGGGAGCTCTCCTGCCCTGTGATGACAGCAGAGTCCTACCGGAAGAAGATGCCTTCCTCTTCTTTCCTGGCAAGGACTCAGTCAACAAAAAGTCCTGGGATCTATGCTTGCCACGGTGCTCCCAACTTCCATTTCCCCCTTTATAAAAGTGTTCTCCCCTTGCCAACTGGACGACTTGCACATGGATACAGATCCTGAATTGCAATTCTCTACTGATCCGGAATAAATCCATCTTTGCTAAAGAAATAGCTGGCGGTCTATTTCAGGTCATGACGTGAAATATATCTTTCCCTTGCCTGGTAACTATGTCGAGCACCTTATCACACAAAGTGGGACAGCCTTCCAAGGACCCACCCTCAGTTCTAGAAGGGATGAATCGCCCGAGAAGGTGGAAGTCAGATAAAATGCTGACTGATTCACTCAGAGGCTGGGGCAGTGTGAGGCTCCCTTCACATTTTAGCAGAGCACGCAGGTAAACTTTAGGCCTGTGTTGGCTAATACAGGAGCACTAGTCATGTGTGGCTGTTTAAATTGATTAAAACTGAATAAAACTAAAAACTCAGTTCCTCAGCTCCACTAGCCATATTTCAAGAGATCAATAGCCTGCTGTGGCTTCTGGATACCCTACTGGACAACGTAGATACAGACTATTTCCATCATCACATCAAGTCCTATTGGAGAGCATTGCTTCAGACAATAGTACACAACTGTAACTGCTTAGAAAATATTGAGTTGGCCAAAAAGTTTGTTTGGTTTTCCATAAGTAATTGTGGCAAAACCTGAATAAACTTTTTGACCAACCCAATACACCCATTTTAATGAGGGCAAATGGTTAATTAGATCATCCAACCATAGACAAGGCAGCGTGTGAGGAAAAGATTGGATTTCTTTGACATTTTGGAGGACCATTATCAGCAGTAAGTGCAAACAAATCTCAGTATTTTTTTAGACATTGCATTAACCCTTTTTAGCCCATAGGAATAATTTTGTAGTACATGGTGAATTAAGTTCTCGCTTCTCCTTACATACATGCGTGGGACTGGATGATACTGCAGATTAATCTTCTGCTTGCTCACTCTCTCTCTCCTCCTCCTCTCTCTTTCCCTGACTCACCTTTGTTCAAGTCATCTTTCTATGAGTTTGTGTCCACTCCACCCACTACTGCCTAGGCCCTCAGCCCAGACAGGTAGGTGCAGGTCAGCCACCAGAGAGCTAGAAAATAAAGCCCACAAACACAAAGCATGCAGTCTAAGAAAGTGAAAGTTAAAGGCGCTCAGTCATGTCCAACTCTTTGCGACCCCATGGACTACAGAGTCCATGGAATTCTCCAGGCCAGAATACTGGAGTGGGTAGCCTTTCCCTTCTCCAGGGGATCTGCCCAGCCCAGGGATCGAAATGGATCCCAAAAGTTCAGATACAATCTGAGAGAACTTGCCAGCCCCTTAGACTAAATAAAGCAAGCCAGTGCTGAGGAAGAGGGAAGAGGGGGTGCTGAGCAGGCAGGAGAACGTGAGCTCCAGGAAGCTGCAAGTGTCCATGGGAACGAGCACCACCTTGCCAAACTCTGAAGAGCACTTGGCGGCGGAGCTCAGTTTTCCTTTCCCCTGGCGTCTGTAGAGAACTCCGCCATTCGACAGCCGGCCGTCTCCACACATCCACCCCTGAGTGGGAGTGATGCCGCTCCGCTCAGCACCACATTCAGTCCTTCCAAGGAGACATTCCTCTTGCCTCAGCACAGTAGGCTCGCAGACCACACACCTGCTCCGTAAAAAGCAGGCGGGTAGACTGTGCCAAGACATGGCAGTAACGTAAAGAGAAAGCCCCAGCACTATGGTAAGTTGGTCCTCCACCAACTCAAGGTCTCCCACAGGTGGGGAAGAAGCCATCCAGGTGACGTATACCATAAGGAACGCACGATGCTGTGGGAGGACCTGGGCCCTTACGTTGAGTACTGAGCATAGGCAGTTGTGGGCCCGTAGTTCCAAGTCTTCCAGAAGAGGTTTGCATATTTGGGGGAAAGCAACTTCACCTGGTGATTGTGGGTAGCACCTGGACCAGGACATGTGACTGAGACATAAGCCTTGGAAAGAATAGCTCCAGAGCTGGGGAGAACAGGAGATGGAGCTGAAAGTATTGGTTGTCCCTCAAGCCACTCCCACATCCTTCCTGTTGGCGGAGCTCAGGGTTTGTTCATGGATTCTTCATTTGCTTCAAGGAGGATCCCTTCCCCCAGCTCCTGTTTTGGGGAAATGCAGCTGCTGCCCCTCCAGAATGATGTCTGACTCCCAACTGCTATGTATGAGGCAGAGCTGATGACTGTTCTGTTCTTTTCTGTTTACCACATACATTTCTAAATCATTGGATTAAGGCTACATACAAATAGACTGCTGGTGGCTCAGCGGTAAAGAATCCGCCTGCAATGTAGGGGATGTGGGTTCAGTCCCTGGGTTGGCAATATCCCCTGGAGGAGGAAATGGCAACCCACTCCAGTATTCTTGCCTGGTAAATCCCATGGACGGAGGAGCCTAGTGGGCTACATTCCATGGGGTCGAAAAAGAGCTGGACATGAGTGAGCAACTGACACAAGTGTTTTTTCCAAAGCTGTAAGTTAAAGCTTTAGGCGTCATGGGTATTAGGAGCAAATTATTGGTGATCTACTCTGAGTACAGGGAGGTCATCCCTCACGTGAACGCGAATTAATTTGTTCTTTTTATCTTTTCTTCACCCAAAAGGTGAGACCACCACTCCTCGGGCCATTCTGACAGGTCATGACTACGAGATCACTTGTGCTGCTGTCTGCGCAGAGCTCGGCCTCGTGTTGAGTGGCTCTAAAGGTAAATCTGCGGGNTAAAAAGCAGAGACATTACTTTGCCAACAAAGGTCCGTCTAGTCAAGGCTATGGATCTTCCAATGGTCATGTATGGATGTGAGAGTTGGACTGTGAAAAAAGCTGGGCGCAGAAGAATTGATGCTTTTGAACTGCGGTGTTGGAGAAGACTCTTGAGAGTCCCTTGGACTTCAAGGAGATCCAACCAGTCCATCCTAAAGGAGATCAGTCCTGGGCGTTCATTGGAAGGACTGATGTTGAAGCTGAAACTCCAATATTTTGGC